GTGTTTGAACTATAGTATTTTTAATTAACATTCAAGCTCACTCAGTTAGTTACCAAACACCAGCTTTCCCCCGACAGCTCACTTCTCGTCTTGCCTAGCAAACTAAGAATATTAATTTACTCATTATCTTAGAAATCACACATTTAACTTACAGAAAAAGTGAGACAATGAGGCCTCAGGTTCCACGTGTCAGTTAGTCCAGTTTACTGCAGAATACTTTACTCTGTCAGTTTGCAGCAGTTGGAAACACTCAGTGCTTCTGCTTTATTTGCAGTTCCAGAAAAGAGATACATACAAGTTTCTCCATGACAGCAGCTGCCAATAAAGGCTCTCATCATTAATTATATTCAGGCAGGGGAAAACAGGACATGGGAAGGACTGCTGCAAACTCATTAGGATTAACGAAGTAATTTTCACAATAAGAGTGAAGGAAATGTCCAATAATAAGTCAGTAAGTCAGTACAAGAAAACACAGCAAACTTGTGACAACTTTTTAACCTGCAGAAAAAAACAACTTAACGAGGGATAATTTGTTTAAAGTCTCAGAACCACACAAGCCAATCTGCTTCATATGTCCTCAAGCCTGATGGCAATAAAGCAGTCACTTTATGACACAACATATCAGATGGCACAGTGGTCAAAATACAGAGCGCTCTCAGTGCAAAGTAGTTTTTCTCTGAATGTCATTGTCTCTAATTGCCAGTGCTGTGCTGAGTCATTGAGTGTTACTCAATGAGACGTTACAGTAGACTGTGTACAGCATAACAGCACAAACATCAAGATCAGTCTATACTGGCAGTTGAATAGTTGAAAATCTAAAATAAATGTTTGAAATATTTTTCTAAGTTACTAAAATGTGTTGTGTGTGCTTGTTGTCAGTACTGGAATTTAAAAAACAAAAATCCAAAGGTTTAGTAAAGTGCATTATTGTATTATGCGGTAAATGTTTGATTACAAACATGTATATGTTGTGTTCTGACATTGATCGCTTACATCTTTCCTTACACATATCCCTGGATGTTCCACTTTTGCTTCAAGTGTGATTTTTTTATTGATCCTCCAGGTGCCGTGCCTGTGCAGCAGTGCTACGTGCCTGATGTGTAGCTGCTGTCCGAGCATCAGAAACTCCACGGTGACCAGGATCATCTATGCCTTTATAATGCTGATAGGCACCATCGTTGCCTGCATCATGCTGTCACCGGGTGTGGATCGGCAGCTCAAAAGGGTAGGAGTTGACCATAAAAATACATAAGATAGACATTTACATTCACAATAAAGTTTGCATTATTTAAAGTTAAAATAAAGTTATAATAGTTTAAACTGGTGCATAACTGATGCAAAAAATGAGCATTCATGCAAAGCCACCATGAGATTTATAACACGTGCACCAGCATAATTTGTTTCTCGTTTAAAACAATCGTTGACAATTGTTTAAAAATGGATAAATAAAAAGTGATGCTGACATAACAATGTTGTTTCCTCATTAACTGTGATTCAAGTAAAGTTTGTAATCAAAGTTCATATGAAAAAAAAAAAAGAAGGAAACAAGTGGAAGACAAGGAGCAGATGACATGTCAGCCCCAGATAACACAGTCCAATCCAGATTCATAGCTCCCAAGAAATAGTACCAAGAAATTAGAATATGTGATAAGTGATGACATCCAGCAATAACAGAAGCTATTTTAATGAAAGGTAAAATCATTTAAGATAAGGAAAACTTGAATATGTATAAACCGAAGCAATTAAATTAAATATCAATCTGTCAATCCTTTCTGTGTCCGGGCCGGGTGAGGTTTCCCGTGTTGGGTCAAATTAAGCCGCAGGCTCCACACAGTATTTTCTTTCTTTAATTGCATTTTTTTTCTATTTAATTCTGAGCATTTTTTT